TCTGCTCTAATATGCGCACAGTTAGTACGCTGAAGGCAAATGTAAATGCTTCCAAAGTGATTTCTGTAAGGTGTCTTCTTAACAAGCAAGAACAGCACGTCGAAGTTCGCAACAGTATGGGCTCTGGCATCTACATCGGAGTATTCCGCATAGTACTTATGGCCAAATTTTAATGTCAAATGGTCAGTGCTTGCATCTAACCATCTCAGCGACCATGAATTCTTTAGTTGTAAGCGGAAGACCAAGTATCTATGGACCGCTCTCCGTTCAAAATCGGGAGGGATAATTGACTTGCTTGTACAGTGGGTAGCTGGAAGGTAACGCTTGCAAACGGACTTAACTGCAGGCCAATATGGGCTGATCCTTTTAAGTTGTGGATATGAACGTCTTTTGCGATAAGATTGTAACATTACGGTTGGTTCAATGCAACTTTCAGAGTTCAGTTCAGCTTGTGGTGGCCTACCGACTTAGATTGGTGGACCATGAATTACATGTCAAGTCAAAGCAAGAAATTGCTTTAAAAACCCTGCATGGGTGAATATTCAGTTACAACATACACGGGCTCGACAATGTACCAAACAAGCAAATCAGTGGCTAGGCAATACTACAAAGCACGGGTGGATAAGGACAACAAACTCAATCAAGTTGAAAGTCGACTGGTTAAGTCAAGGCTGGGTCTCGCAAAAGACGCGAAAGTAAGGGATGACTGACGAGCGGTAAGCATGTGTGTGGGCGTGGATTAACTTGTACTTGTGCCTAGTAGATGAAGTTGTTAAGCATTCAGGTAAGGGAGTACGTATGGAATGACTTGTGTCGGTCAGTATATTAGAGGCCAGCTTTTTACAAGAACCGATGTGTGTAAAAATAAGAGTGTTGGTAAAAGTAGATATCGGAACGCCGCTACATTGGGCTAACTGCTTTAATGATCTGTCAACTAACTTAAAATGCTTACCATAAAGACCGGGAAAGATCACAGGGGAACAGTACGTTCAATGGGGAAGAACACAGACACTGACAAAGTGAACGATCAACTCACGAGGAACGCAAGAGGCTCTGAGCCAAGAGCTATAGAATGACAACCTTTTGACTTTACTGAAAGCTTCATTTACTTAAAGGGTCCAAGATAAGTCATCACTCAACGACACGCCCAGATATTTTACTGATGTGGAAGACTGTAATCCATCGCCATCAATCCGTAACTTGTTGCACAGTGTAAGAAGCTCTTCGTACCTGGCTCCTTTGTGTAAGGAAAAAAGAATGTCTTGGCACTTTGAAGCATTAAAATACTGATCAAGCGATTTGGGCCAGCCATTAAGATCGTTCAAAAACGCTTGTAGTCTGAATGAACAATCGGCGCGCCCGCCGCCGCCCCGCCGCCCCGCGCCGCCGCGCGCCGCCCCGCCGCCGCCGCCGCCCGCCGCGCCGCGCCCGCGCGCCCGCCGCCCCGCCGCGCCGCGCCGCCGCGGCCGCCGCCGCCGCCCGCGCGCCGCCGCGCCCGCCGCCGCCCGCCCGCCGCCGCCCCGCCCGCGCCGCCCGCGCCCCCGCCGCCGCGCCGCCGCGCCCGCCGCCGCCGCCCGCCGCCCGCGCCCCCGCCGCCCGCCGCCCGCCGCCGCGCCCGCCGCCCGCGCGCCGCCGCCCGCCGCGCGCCCGCCGCCGCCCGCCGCCGCGCCCCGCGCCGCCCGCGCCCCGCGCCGCCGCCGCGCCGCCCCGCCCGCGCCGCCCGCGCCCGCCCCGCCGCGCCCGCCCGCGCCGCCCGCCGCCGCCCCGCCCGCGCCGCGCCGCCCGCGCCCGCGCCCCCGCGCCCGCCCCGCCCGCCCGCGCCGCCGCCGCGCCGCCCCCGCCGCCGCGCCGCCCGCCGCCCGCCGCCCCGCCGCGCCGCCCGCCCCCGCGCCGCGCCCCGCCCGCCGCGCCGCCGCCCCGCCGCGCCGCCGCGCCCGCGCCCGCCGCCGCCCGCGCGCCGCCGCCCCGCCGCCCGCGCCGCCGCCCGCCCGCGCCGCCCGCCGCCCGCCGCCGCGCGCCGCGCCCGCCGCCGCCCGCGCGCCGCCCGCCGCCGCCCGCCCGCCGCCGCGCCGCCGCGCCCGCCGCCCGCGCCGCCCGCCCCGCCGCCCGCCCCGCGCCGCCCGCCGCGCCCCGCCGCGCCGCCCGCCGCCCGCCGCGCGCCCGCCGCCCGCCCCGCCCGCCGCCGCGCCCGCCGCCGCGCCCCGCCGCCCGCGCCCCCGCCGCCGCCGCCCGCTCCCGCCGCGCCCGCCCCCGCCGCGCCGCGCCCGCCGCCGCCCCGCCGCCGCCCGCCCGCCGCCGCCGCGCCCGCCCGCCGCCCGCCGCGCCGCGCCCCGCCCGCGCGCGCCCGCCGCCCGCGCCGCCGCGCGCCCGCCGCCCGCGCGCCGCCCGCCCGCCCGCCGCCCGCGCGCCGCCCGCGCCGCCCGCCGCCGCGCCGCCCGCCCGCCCGCCGCCCCGCGCCGCCGCCCCGCGCCCGCCGCGCCGCCCCGCCCGCGCCCGCCGCCCCGCGCCGCCCCCGCGCCGCGCCCGCCCCGCCCGCCGCGCCCGCCCGCCCGCGCCGCCGCCCGCCGCCCGCCCCGCGCCCGCCGCCGCGCCGCCGCCCCGCCCGCCGCCGCGCCGCCGCCCCGCCGCGCCCGCCCGCCGCCGCCCGCCGCCCCCGCGCCGCGCGCCGCCCCGCCGCCGCCCGCCGCCGCCGCGCCCCGCCGCCCCGCCGCGCCGCGCCCCCGCGCCGCCCGCGCCGCCGCCCGCGCCGCCCCGCCCGCCCGCGCCCCGCCGCCCGCGCCGCCGCGCCGCCGCGCCCGCCGCCCGCCGCCCCGCGCGCCGCCCGCCCCGCGCCCGCCGCCCCCGCCGCCCCGCCGCCCCGCCGCGCCGCCGCCGCCCGCCGCCGCCGCGCCGCCCGCCCGCCGCCGCCCCGCCGCGCCGCCCGCCCCGCGCCCGCCCGCCCGCCGCCCGCCGCCGCGCCGCCCGCCGCCGCCCCGCGCCGCGCCGCCGCCGCGCCCCCGCCCGCCGCGCCCGCCGCCGCCCGCCCGCCGCCCGCCCCCGCCGCGCCCGCCGCGCCGCCGCCCGCGCCCGCCGCGCGCCGCGCCCCGCCGCCGCCCGCGCCGCCGCCCCGCCGCCCGCCGCCGCGCGCCCGCCCCCGCCGCGCCCGCCGCCCCGCCCCCGCGCCCGCCCGCCCCGCCGCCCGCGCCCGCCGCCCCGCGCCGCCCGCGCCCCGCCCGCCGCGCCCGCCGCCCGCCCGCCCGCCCCCGCGCGCCCCGCCCGCCGCCCGCGCGCCGCGCCGCCCCGCGCCGCCCGCCGCCCGCGCCGCCGCGCCGCCCGCCCCGCCCGCGCGCCCCGCCGCCCGCCCGCCCGCCGCGCGCCGCGCCGCCCCGCCGCCCGCCGCCCGCCGCCGCCGCCCCCGCCCCGCCCGCCGCCCCCGCCGCGCCCGCGCCCGCCCCGCGCCCGCCCGCCCCCGCGCCCGCCCGCGCCGCGCCCGCCGCGCCCGCCCCGCCGCGCCGCCGCCCGCCCCCGCCCGCGCCGCCCGCGCCCGCCCCGCCGCCGCGCCGCCCCGCCGCCGCGCCCCGCCCGCGCCCGCCGCGCCCCGCCCGCCCCGCGCCGCCCCCGCGCCCCGCCCGCGCCCGCCGCCCGCCCGCCGCCGCCCCCCGCCCGCGCCGCGCCGCGCCGCCGCCCGCCCCCCGCCGCCGCCGCCGCGCCCCGCCGCCGCCCCGCCGCCCGCGCCGCCGCCCGCGCCGCCCCGCGCCCCGCCGCGCCGCCCGCCGCCCCCGCCCGCCGCCCGCGCCCCGCCGCGCCCGCCGCCGCCCCGCCGCCCGCGCCCGCGCCCCGCCCGCCGCCGCCCGCGCCCGCCCCGCGCCCGCCGCCCGCCCGCCGCCGCCCGCCGCCCGCGCCGCCGCCGCCCCGCGCCCGCGCCCGCCGCCGCCCCGCCGCCGCTCCGCGCCGCGCGCCCGCTCGCCGCGCCGCCGCCTCGCCGCGCGCCCGCCCGCCCCGCCGCCGCTCCCGCCGCGCCGCACCCCGCCGCCGCCCGCCGCGCCCCGCGCGCCGCCCCGCCGCCGCCCGCCGCCCGCCGCCCGCCCGCGCGCCGCCCCGCCGCGCCCCGCCCGCCGCCGCGCCGCCCCGCGCCGCGCCCGCCGCCCGCCGCCCCGCGCTCGCGCCCCGCCCCGCCCCGCCGCCGCGCGCCCGCCGCCGCCGCCCGCGCCCGCCGCCCGCTCGCCGCCCGCCGCCGCGCGCCGCCCGCGCCGCGCGCCCCGCCGCCCGCGCCGCGCCCGCCGCTTCGCGCTTTAGTGATTAATGCTCAGGACGATATCGTCAGCATATTTTACCGGAGTCATTTCAGCTGTGGTTGGCATAGAGCTGACATAATTAGAAAAGAGAAAGGCGACAGAATTGCTACCTGAAGGACACCTCAGTTGGTAAGTCGAGGAGAGGAACATCTGCCAGTAAATCGGGTGATCTGAGTGCTTTCAGCAAAATAATCACTCAATAAATAGGCAATGGAGTGATGTACTCCTTGAATAAGTGGGTCTTCTAGCAGTAATTCGCTGTTTATCTAGCCAAATGAATTACTGTAGTCAAGAAAACACATCCGAGTTGCTTTATTCCTATTGTCAAGCGATGACAGTATAAAATGTACGAGGTAGGCTACATCATCTTGGGTAGATCTCGAACCATGATAGGCGAAATGAAGGGGCCCTTAGGTCACCTTCTGGATGGTATCATTTTGGGAATGACTTGCTTCAGAACCTTCAAAGCAACGCCAGTGCACGCGATATGTCGATATTTGTTAGATCCTTTTTTCGGCCATGGCGTAAGGTTGACACTACTCCAGTAGTCGGCTATTTTGTGTTACTGCATACACATTGTGTAGACACTTGCAAGAGACGTTGCCAAACAATCGGCACATTCTTTCCTTAAGATAGGATATAGCGTGTCCGGCCCACTAGCTTTACCGGGATGTAGAAGTTTCAGTAGATTAGTTACAGTTGCACTGTCAACGTGAGGCAGTGGTTCAGTAGACCCCAGAAGTTAGGCACAGGAATTCTCTGGAGCTGTAGTAGTATTACACTTGCAGTACTCTTGATTGAATATTTCCACGCCTACATCAAAGTAGGACGAACCTCGAGTAACCGCTAAGGGTTTTCAGCATCCTCCAGAGTTCACGACAACTGCCGTTCCCAAGAACAGACTGGACATACACTTTGTTAGGACCGTGTAGCTCTTCCTTGATACGACCTGTGAGAGCTTTTACTGATGTGCCGTCTTTTTCTTTAAACGCTTTCTCCTTAAGTCGGGGTAGCCGCTTCAGATGGGGAGAGGAAAACCTGTCAGCACTGACGTAAATAGTTTCCTGAAGGCAACAGACATCAAAACAGAAGTTTGAATAGCTTGCCAAATTATCACAATACATCAGGATCAAAGAACAAACTAATTTCCGTCGATGCGATCATTTCGCGAAGTCTGTTGAGATTTTGTGGAGAGCACTGTCTTCTCCTGACCCTTCGATCATTGCTGCGAGTGATTTGTTGATGCTTATTCTTGCTATAGATGACAAGTGAAATCGTGATTGTTGTCTGACCAGAATTGTCGATTAGAGCCCGATTACATACGGAGAACCACTACAAATTGTTAACAAACACCAGCTCCGAGGTTCCGTTTAACCTGGTGGGCAGTTTGACGATGTTTCGCAACCTGAGAGCAGTGAAAAAAGTAGTGTCAGATCTTTTGAAATCTCCGCCGAAGATGCACAGAGAACGAACGATGTGTTCTATGACAGTTGTAGTAAATTCATCATAGAAATTCTCAGCTTCAGGTTTGGGACAGGTGGGAGATATGTAGATGTTAGCCAACAATATTGAGCGGTAGCCATTCAAACACCTCGGCTTACATTGTATGACTAAACAATTGATAAACTGTGAGGAGAAGCAAAAAGCACGTGTTGTTGCAATACAGTAAGACGCATTGGTGCAAATAAGTACTCCACTACCTCGGTTTCGGTACGTGCCTGGGCGGTAAACCTGATGGCAACTAAATTCTCCAACGGATACGACTGCGTCATCCACTTCTTCATGGAGCCAGGTTCCTTGCAACATAATGATCCCAAGCTGCGAAAATCCTCTTGCGAAAACAATGTTTGCTAGTTCATTTAATTTCCTCATGAGCGAGCAGATGTTGGTGATAAGCAATACTGGGACGCTGAGATCTCTCCATGTGTTCCTTCGAAAAGCAAAGTTTCCTTCAGAACGATGTTTTCTAACACAATTGTTACATTTTTATGAATTCGCTTTAGTTTGTTTCTGGGAACGCAACCGTTCGAAAATGCACGAGTTACGAGCGTAGCAAAACATAGCTAGTTTAAAATATCGTGTGAGTAGGTTTGCATCGCGGAAGGAGTGATGAATTAAAACAAGAACCGATAGAGCAAAATGTAAGATGTGAGCACGTGTGTGTTGATAAAATCCAAAGAGAGGAATCGTAGAGCACATCCAAATTTGAAGGCCCCGCAAGTCTGACAAGTTAGTCTACAAGACTTGTGTCTGCAGTATTCTTAGTGTATTAGACTAACGCCGCATAAGTAACAAATATCCGTAAGTGGGAGAAGACGAAGAACTGTAAGCAAGATTAGTTATTGGGGAATTCAGATGCAGGAGGGGTACAGAAAGTAGAAATCAAGTAAGTACTGAATTCATGCGCACAATGGTTGTAATGCACAGTCGCCTCAGCCGGTGGCACATAATAGGACGAGCATGCACTTGGTAGCAATCAGACAGTCAGTCGCAGTCACATGCTGCAGGAGTAATATAGCACGGCTAGCATGGTGAACTGGATGTCGGACATGGGCAGCGTAGGTATAGCCAGTGACACGGTCACGTGCAAACTTCGCGATCACACGACACATGAATTATTGCAAGCCTGGATACGCGCCGACTAACAAAGGCGCTCAAGCTATCACAGTGTCCTAGTTCCACAAACATAGCCAGCATCATATGGAATCAGGGGCAAAGACATCTGGGTGATCAATAGTTTCACATCGGCTATTAGCTTCATAATAACTAATTACACCAACACCCTATCTAGTTTTATCGTTCTGAAGCAGTACATACCGGGTATATTGATACTAGAATCAGGTATCACGAAGGAGAGTTTAGTGAACGATAAATTATGGGCTTCTGGACATGGGTCCTTGTTCCGCAGCCATAGTTGGCCCCAGTTAGGTGGGTGTGCGGATTTTATGTGAGCGATGAGTTCACAGTTGGGGTTGGTTTTGTAATAAAGCTCTACTTCACCTCATCTTCAAGGTCTATCGTTTCAAAGCGGAGACCTTCCGGGCACAGTGATCTCGAAATCAGTTATCTTAGGCTTCCCCAGGTCTCTGTAGCCATAATGAGGCCTGACTCTCTAAAGTCGACCAACTTACTAAGAAGGCTTTGGCGTCAGCCTACAGACGGACTAACGCTTTGGATGCTGGGGTGCGTCATCGAATGTACAATTCAGATTGAGTTTAGAACCGATCGTTTGGCGGTCGGTCGCTAGTCATTTGCTTGAGAGCTCATGGCTTCTTGAATTGCAGTCGAGCCACATGGCGACACAGAGCCATCCAGATCACGAATTTCACCAGGATCCTGTCAGATGCCTCGCGTGGTATTCTGGCAATCTCTCTGCAGGATTGTGCAAACGAATGTTTTGCAGATGATGCGTGTTGCAACGAATTAATGATCACTCGTATGTGTGTGCCTACCGCCTTCTTGCGAATTTCGGTTGGCAGTATGGTTCGAAAATTTTACCAGGTACCTAGAAAGAGCTCTGTCGTTCTTTCGAAGCGTAGCACAACTGTACTAATCTAAGACCATAATCCTTGTGATGAAGCAATTCTCGTAGCCAATTTGGCAATGGGATTGCCCAGAGAAAGTGAGTCACGGAAGTAGTGCCACTGCTCCCGTTCATGTGTCTGCGCCTCTTGGCCAGGCGAATCCTGTTGCTTTGGAAACCACAAATAGCTATGTTTTTCTTATCGTCATTTCTGGAGGCCCGCCTTTGTTTTCGTTTCCTTTAGGTGCTAGTTTCATGGGGCATTGAGACTTAGATGCATCCTACTCAATGCGCAGCATAAGCAAACTGCCAACAGTAGGATGGTCTCTATTTCCTTTGTTGAGTCTATTGTTACCTGGTACGCACCGGAGTATTATGAACTTGTGTGCAATGTTACTTGTCTCAATGTGGTGGTTCAAACCCGAATGTCGCTCGCATCGCAGATGGAATTCCACCGAGTACGTTCGTCTAGTGGCCTACTGTTTATTACGAACGGCAGGATAGGGGATAATTGGTGTACGTATGAGTTAATGTGGTTTTGTCTAGCTACTACCGCTTAGAAGTTGCCGATTGTACTTTAGGCTGTTTAGCAAGCAAAATAGAGATGTTCCTAAATCTCTGTCGCATAGACTGTGCTCGGTAAAGAAGCTGGAGCTATGGAAGAGACTGATAATGACCGTAATGGACCGTCCACGGCTCTAAGACTCCAACATCTTGACCGAAGTGTTAGTTGTTTCCTCCAGGAAGGAGGAGAAAGTGATCGAATCGAATGCGATCTGCTTGCTTAGGGAGTTAGCATGTGTCAACTTGATTGACACAGATACGATGGGGCGGTTAGCACCATTAAAATTATTCTTTGATCCAAAGTCGGAGCCAATATGGCTTTCCTGTGTCACAGGTTCTACTTTATTCGATGATGTAACCTCAAAGCACTCTATCTAATCCGTCGTTTTGGTCGATTTCTCATAATTCTTCTTCGGTAGAAATATACAAAATCAGAGCGCATCGGTCACATTGTTGAACCCCAGCTTCAAGTAGAGTCAGCACTGCTCATTTAAATTGGAATGCAGTGGCATGGTTAGAGCAAGCCTAACTTATGTCGACTATTCGGCCAAATAAGTGTAAACATGGGTGTGAGTGCGAGGAATAAATTATTTGCGGTTCTAGGAGTCGTTATACATGGGGAATAAACATGAGAAAAAACCTGCAGTAAATGCGACAAGCAAGTCTTGTGTGATTGTGTGAAGTAAATTTGGAAGGAATAAGTTCGTGGAAAAGATGCGCGAAAGTTCACGAGCTTAGCCTCACCTCTGCTGTCTCAAATCAACTACCTGTGGGCTGCAAGCCAAGTACACGGGCCGATCTGTCACCGGGCGGTTCAACGTCCTTGTAACTTACATGAAGATAATATATTCATTAGTTTAAGCTTTTCTCGACACCTAGTGATTGCGGCAACCAAAAGTGGTTTAATCATATCTCTCCAACAGTGTGGTTTCATGTTCTGCTACGCACCTCACTTTGAAAATGCGCCTACCAAACTTCGGTTGCTACCACTCTGTTGTACGGCTGAGCAGATGCCACTACAGAAGATCCATGCAGCCACTCAATGCAGTCGATAACTTTGTGTTCATCAAGTTTGGAAAGCTGTTGAGTAAACAGTTGCTCGCAGAAATGTTAGAGCGGCTTTTAAAAAGGTTGGCAAAACAGATAAAGCGACAGCACTATCTTGTCCACCAAATAGACTGTTATTTACTAAAACCAGTGCTGCTGTGCAGGCTACCAAACAGAGAACGCCACATTGAAAACACTAGCACTTCATTAGATGTTTGCCACAGATGCGTATAAAAATACCATCCATAATTCATGTACCAACAGGGTCCATCAACAGCTTGGAGTTTAACGGCAGGTCTACTGGGGTCCGTCAGAGCATCCGATAATTCGTAACGTATCATACTCATTAAAGTACACGCTGAGAACTAAATCCCCTAACTGCGAGTGCGTAACACATTAAAACGACGAATCGCAAGGAAAATGATGACTTTCATGTGTTTCCAGCGGAAACACTAAAAACACGCGTCTTCCTTTGACATTACAATGCTCATAGATGAAGTCTATTAGGGAATATGGTACTTCGTCTACTTGAATTGTCTACTTGGTTCTAGGTTTGTGGTACGGGCTGCGTTTTACCGAACCAATAACAGGCTTCTGAGACCATGCAAGGCTTTGCCAACGATAGACATTTTACATAAGTGAATCCGTCTATGGACAATATATTCGTCTGTCCTCTTGTTGACTCGTTTTGCTCAGTAGGTCGCTTCCACAATGTCCAGATTTATTTACACACTGTGCATCGCTATAACGCTTCCAAGATCTCTATATACACGATAAGGCACAATGAACAATGATCTATTTATTACAGGTAAAAAGCGATTGCCTTACAAGTTCCGTAGGATTGTTTAAGTGAAAGTAAACAAAGTGTAAATCGTCAATTTGAGCGTCTAGCGATTCATATGCTCTTCTTCCTTGAAATGTTTTAGAATGCGTATTGAATTGTTACTGTAGAGTATTATGGAAGTAATAGGGGGAAGGTATGCCTTAAGGACAAAAGGAACAACTAGTCTCACTCATGTGTCGCTTTCTTGAACTGAGGTAGTTGACGAATGCAGTTGTAATATATCCGAAACTATATCCCACAACAGCAGTGTGTAAATAGTGAAGCACAAAAGCTGAGAATGAGCACCGTTTGTTCGCGTTTGGTTGACGTAGACATCTCTGATTATATAGCGTAATGTAAGTGGATAAGCGAATCATCCAGACGTCTTTTGGATACCGTTAGCGTGGGGGAAGAAACAACGTATGTGGGAAGAGCTTTCCAGTGTTGGCAC